CCTCAGAGACCACTTGCATAACCAGAGCAGAGGCACAGGCCGCATGGTGTGGTCTCCTTGCCCTGAACGCCTGCTCAGCCTCCCCTGAGAAGTCCTCTGTTTTTCCCCCTTTTTATCCTTTCCCGAGGACATTTTCTGATTTTCAAAGAGAGGGGAAGGGGCAGAGACAGAGAAAGGGAAACACCCATCAGTTGCCTCCCACAGGCTGGGTCGGGATCAGGGATCAAATCCATAACCCAGGTATGTGCCCTGACCGGGAATCGAACCCACAACCTTTCAGTGTAACTGGACGAAACTCCTACCAATTGAGCAACACCAGGCAGGACAAGAATTCCCCCTTGAGTTACTGCCTACGTTCACTGCTTTCAGCCATCTGATGCTGGTGCGCATAGATACACACAGCACCATAAAGAGGAGACGCCAAGGTTTTGAATCGGGGCCATGGACAGGGACGAGCTGAAGGTTGAGAGGCGAGGAGGATCAGAGCCCAAGAGCAGTTCCAGAAGAACCTCCTGCCTGCATGATCCCTGCTCCCTGCTCCCTGCTCCCTGCTCCCTGCTCCATGCTCCTGCCTGCATTATCCCTGCTCCCTGCTCCCTGCTCCCTGCTCCATGCTCCTGCCTGCATGATCCCTGCTCCCCACGCGAGCTGCCTCAGCACTGACCTGGGGCCTTGAGCTCAGCGTCGATGAAGCTGAGCAGCTCCTGGCTGATGCTGCAGTACGGAACGGGCCAGGTCAGGAATCGGTGGTAGGTGCCGGCTGCTTTCAGAAGAAGGTCTGAGTCCGGCGGGAAGTGTGGTGTCTGCAATGCAGAGGGAGAGGCAAGCAGAGAAGTCTGGGCGGGAGAAAGTGCACTGATATTCCAGAGCAGAACCTGCTACTTTTCTGGAATGTTCCACAAAGGGCACACACTTCCCGGCAGCTGCATGTCCAAGAACAAGGTCAGGAAGGACTGGAAGTAACCCACAGGCAGTGAGTTACAGATAGGCAAGAGGGTGCCAGGGGTGTCTCTACCGTAAGGGCCTTGGTTTTATTAAAGTAACACAGTTTACCCAGTTCAGGAGAGCAGCGCTCTGAAAAGCTGGAGTCATCTTAAATGGGGCCGCTGCTGCCTCTCACATGTCTAAACCAGTGGCTGGCAAACTGCAGTTCTCGAGCCACATGCGGCTCTTTGGCTCCTTGAGTGTGGCTCTTCCACAAAATACCACGTGCGGGCGCGCATGTACAGTGCGATTGAAACTTCATGGCCCGTGTGCAGAAGTCGGTATTTTGTGGAAGAGCCGGTATTTTGTGGAAGAGCCACACTCAAGGGGCCAAAGAGCCGCATGTGGCTCGCGAGCCGCGGTTTGCCGACCACGGGTCTAAACCACATTTATCCTTATGAGAGAGAAACATTTCTCTGTGAAGTGAATTGACTCAATGTGCACGGACTCATTTGATGCCCCCGGTCTGGTGAATAGGGGTGATCACATTGGGTAAAACTGACCGCTGGGGCACAAAGTGAGGTGGGCATAGAAGCTGTTTAACGGGTCTACTCCATGGCGTGTGAGAGGCTGTGACTGGTTCCTCCATGGGCGCCAGATGTGCCAGGCACAACAGCATCCACATGAGTTACTGGAGACTCTCAAGACGGCTTATCAGCGGTTCTCAATCTGTGGGTCACGACCCCTTTGGCGGTCGAACGACCCTTTCACAGGGGTCGCCTAAGACCATCCTGCCTATCAGATATTTACATGACGATTCATAACAGTAGCAACATTACAGTTATGAAGTAGCAATGAAAATAATTTTATGGTTGGGTCACAACATGAGGAACGGTATTTAAAGGGCCAAAAGGGTGAGAACCACTGGCTTAGCTGAAGCCATCAGAAGGTTGACAGGCATCAGGTGTCATTGATTGACAGCTTCTCTCCCAGTGTTTATCCTCAGAGTCGTGAGGGAGGCCTATGCCTGCCCTGGGCGGGTTGTTCTCTCTCCTCCCCCAGCTCCCAGCCTGGCCCACCCTGGAACTTACACAGAGGACCGTGGAGTAGAAGAGCAGGGCCAGGGGCGTGAAGAGGTCATAGGAACCCTTCTCTTGGACCTGTGGAGAGGACAGGAGAGGAGGGTGAGGCTCACCTACGGGTGCAGAACAGAGCAGCGCGTCCTTGTTTTATTGTTGTTGTTTTTTTAATACATTTTTATTGATTTCAGGGTGGAAGGGAGAGGGAGAGAGAGATAGAAACACCAATGATGGGAGAGAATCACTGATTGGCTGTCTCCTGCACGTCCCCCACTGGGGATCAAGCCCACAACCTGGGCATATGCCCTGACTGTGACCTCCTGGTTCATAGATCAATGTTCAACCACTGAGCCATGCAATGCAACCACCAGAAAAAATCCTGACTAGAGAATTAGAAATTAGAAAAAAACTCCACGCACAACGGCCCCTTCCAAACTCAACCACTGCTAATGTTTCAGCATACTTCTCCTTACAGTGTTTCCCTGTGTATTTTCCTCTGCAAAGTCATCACAGTGTGCATATTTTTACTCTTAATGTCTTTTACATGTAATATTATAGATGAGTTTGTTTTGTTACATGATCTCTAAGCCCACCTCTTGTTCCCCTTCTGGTTATACATTTACCTGTTACCTGCATTGTAAAGTTGTTGTTTTTTTCCAGTCTGTTGTTTGCTTTTAAATGTATGGATTATTTGTGTACATAAATTATGTGTTAATTTTTTCCTTTATGGATGTTTGCTTTGTCATGCAAGGATCATGTGAATACGCATATATTTTCTTTGAAGCTTTATTTTCTTAAATTTAAGTCTTTAAGACATCGAAAATTCCATTTGCTGTATGGTATGAATTAGGAATCTCACTCTGTGTTTTTCCAAGTGTTTCATCAATTTCCCCTAAGCCATTTAATAAATATTACTGTTGTAATTTTATTACATATTCAATTGTGTTAATACCCTTGGATAATATCCATTATTTTTATTAGCTGTATAATATTCCTTCTGGTAGATACCTATACTGTATTAGTTTCATTTTAGACATTTGAGGTTATTTCTTGCTATTTAATTACTTTTGCAATGAAAACCTTTGAGCAAATTTCTTTTTCTATAATTTGTATGATTTATCTAGGATACAGTTCAAGAAGTGGAATCAATCGAGATTATAAACATACTTACGATCTTTTAAACATATTGCCCCATTGCTTTCCAAAAGGATTTTGCCATTTATAAGATCTCATATGTTTGAAAGTGCCAGCTTCACTACAACCTTCTCTGCATTGCTTATTATAATTTTTTGCTAATTTGCTAGGCAAAGGCTGTCTCATTATGGTTTTAATTTGCATTTGTTCTATGATCACGGGGGCAACATTTTTCCTGTATATGTTTAAAGTTCTAGTTATTCTTTTGTGCACTCTTTTTTTTAGAGCGCCCACCCACCACAGCACATACACACCTGAGCCCGGGTTTTTTACTTCTTCGGCCTTTCAGCCCCGTCTAGCGCTCACGAGCTGACGCCTCAGAGGCAGCCCCGCATCCCCGCTGCCTGGTGACCTCGCAGGCTCAAATGTAAGGTTCTCCTTTTCTTTTTCCTGAATAGACCATGTGCCTGCTCCCCTGTCACTGCACAGTAGTTGATCCTTTACATTTGGGCTGTGCGTTAAGCACTCCAGGGGAGGGTCAGCTCTCCTAAGTGGGTTTGCATATAAACACACCAGGTAAATGGTGGTGCTAGAGCTGGGACCTTGGGAGTCTTGATAAACCAGTACTTTCTTCTTATAGGTAAAGGGTCAGCTAATAGAGAAAGGCCAATGTTTTGCAACTCAGTCATGTATTAAAAAGCAAAACTTTAGCTCAGCTGGTGTGGCTCAGTGGTTGAGCGTCAACCTATTACACCAGGAGGTCACAGTTCGATTTCCAGTCAGGACACATGCCCGGGTTGCAGGCTGGATCCCCAGTAAGGGGCGTGCAGGAGGCAGCCGATCAATGATTCTCACTCATCATTGATGATTCTATCTCTCTCCCTCTCCCTTCCTCTCTGAAATCAATAAAAAATTGAAAACACACATAAATAACAACAAACCTTTAAAGAGAATTCTTCAGGAAAGAGCCAGAATCCTCCCTAGGGACTCAGCTGTCCTGGAACCCCAGCCCAGCTCAGCTCTGACTGCACTCTTCCTCTTAGACGTAAAGGCCCATTGACTGACCTGTCAGAGGAGGTCTCCGTTTACCTCTCCAATCAGTCTTTGTTTTCATGGATCTTTTTGAGGAAAGGAATCCAGCAAGGCTTCCTCCCCCTCTCTAGTCAATACCTTGACACACACGCAAGCAGCTTAAAGGACCCTGGCTCACGTACCACGTGTTCTCATTGCGAGGCCCACATCCCTGCCCAGAACCCTTCGATCCATGGCTGACACCGAGCTCGCAGGTTCCCGGAGCCTCTGCCAAGCCCCTCGGCGGCCCAGGCACCCCAGAACCGACATTCTGTGGGGGCCTCTTTCTTGACCACGCGGCCGATCCCAGCTCACCGTCACCCCTGGCCAGCCTCACCTCTTGTGTCTTCTGCAGGATCTGCTCCAGGAGGATGAGGAAGTGGCCCGGGTCCCTGCTGACCAGCTCCTGCAGGCTCCAGCAGTTCAGACACAGCCCGGCTGGGAAGGGAACGGCCAGCGGTCAGATTCCTTTATGAAGTAAGAGGCTCCGAAAATCGTATCAACACTCAACCCTATCAATCGTATCAACACTCAACCCTATCGTGCCCATTAAGACATAATGACAAGTTTTTTATTCTTGGAAACTCAAGAGACACAGAGAGGGGTTGGGGTCCCCCTTAAGGGCTAATGAGTGGACAAGATTCTGGTCCCTGTACCTCCCTCCAGAGGGCACCAGGTCTCCCACCACCACCTGCCCCGCTTCCTACAGGGGGAGCTGGGAAGGAGGTGCCGGGAAGGAGGCCAGAGGCAGCGACTGCTGGAAGAAAAGGGAGAGGAGCCACGGTGACCCCCCCACCCCAACACAGGCTGAGTCCCTGACAGCCGGGGACTTCCCGGGACTGCCTGGACCGGAGCCCAGGAGCGGGAAGCCACATTCATTTCTATTTTGAAAGTTAGAATGAACACTTTGTCATTCTAACTTCCCCACACTTTCTTATTGTGTCAATAAGAATTCTAATTTCTATTTCCCTGCAGTCAGCAAGGGTAAACCCCTAAAAATTAAAGGGGTGGTCATGGAGGCGCTTGTGCATGCATGTGTGTGTATGTGTGTGTGCGTGTGTATATGTGTGTATGCGAGTATGCATGTGTATGTATGTGTGTATGTGTGTATGCGTGTGTGTGTATGAATGTGTGTGTGTATGTGTGTGTATGTGTGTGTGTGTGTGTGTGTGTGTGTGTGTGTGTAGTGAGAGCAGCAGGGGCAGAAGTGGTTATACCAGGGGTTTCATGGAGCTCCAGCCCCTCCTCATGGTGGGGGCTCCTCCCAAAGTCCTGGAGGCCCGAACAGAGTGTTTCATGTGGTCGTGGGATTTTGTAAATTTGTGAAAGTCAGATATTTGTGTGTGATTTTACTTAATGACGGCCCTCTCGATTCTCTGAGCTCACGCTCCATCGACACCTGGGAAGGAGGCAAGAAGAAAAATACTACCACCTATTGACCAACTCCTATGTGTCAGGCCTTGCATACCCATCTCCACTGGGCCTCCCACCCTCCCTTCAGGAAGGTGGTTTCTGTTGTCATTATTCTCATTTACAGACACGGCAGCTGAGGTCCTGAGAGGTTAAGTGGCTCACACAAGTTCATAGAGCCAGCGAGAGAGAGTTTAATTCAGATCGGGTTAATTCCTAAGGCCAAGGAAAGCCTCCAGAGGAGGTGACGTCTGAGCTGAGACCTGGATGAGAAAGAGGCAGTGGGCACAGTTCTGAAGGAGGAATCCCAGGCAGCAAGTGCAAAGGTCCTGAGGTAGGAACGAACCAAGATGTGTTCAAGGACCAGTGGGCATCTCTCTCATGGGGCAGTTAGGGAGGCAAGTGAGATATGGGATAGAAAAAAGAAATCTTTACAAGCATAAGAATTATTACAATTAGCCACCAGCCTTCGGGGAAACAACTGTCCCAGCCTGCGGATACCTATTTCTCGGTCCTGGGGAACATGGAGCACAGAGGCCTCCTACTCCCTGTGAACAGAATTCCACTGAGAGCCGCCTATGAAGTCCCAGCTGCTCTTTCGGAACCAGCCGATGTGGTATTTCCTAGCAGGTTAAACAACGACGATGCTTCTAGCGAATGCTAAGGAAGCAAGATGCAGCCCTGAGCAGGATGAGGAAGACAGCACGGGCGACAGGAGAAACTGCTGCATCCGGAGGGCCTGCCTCCATCGGGGGCTGTGCCAAGCACCTGTCCAGGTGAGGTCCAGGGGTTTGCAAAGACACACAGAGTTGGAGCCAGAATCTGCCCGGTCCAGGGCTCACTGTGGCCCCCGAGGCTTCCTTGAGCCTTCAGAGCGCCCCCCCGGCCCCCCTGCCCCCTCCCCCCCCCCCAGCTCTCTCAGACCTACCTGACCAGGAGGTGGAGCGGCGCCGGTTGAGGCTGAGTCCGTGCAGGCAGCGCTCCAGGGCGTGCTGGATGCGGTCCTCTGTGCACGTCGTAGCCCCTGGCTGCATCCTGAGTCATCGCCTGCGTGGAAACAGACACTGTCAGCCCTGGACCCCCAGGTGTGAGGAGCGCAGAGCCAGCAGGGCAGATGGCACAGACAATGCTGCCAGCCTTGCTATGGCCTGGGTGCTGTGGGCACAGCAGGCGGGGGCTCAGCTGCCTCCAGGGCTGGAATGGCTCCCGGGGGCGCTGCTCTGAGTGGCAGGAAGGAGTGTTCCTGCAGCCAAGGGCGCGATGCTACAGGAAGCGAGGGGTCAGGGACAGGAGTGGAGAGGTGTCTGCCCCAAGGCGGCCGGGTTTCCAAGCGCCTGGGGAATGCCCAGGGAGTGGCCAGACCCCAGTGGGCTGGGCAGCAGGACCTCCAGGAACAAGCAGAATGGCCTGGGGATTTTTCTGAATTTCCAGGCCTGCATCCCCCAGCCCCAGGGAAGAGCACGGAGATCCCTCTCAGGGCACCGGGGGCTCCAACGCCGAGGCCTGGTGGGGGCTGCCTCACGTGCCCCCCACCACACTCCCCGCTAGGGTGCCCGGGCCCAGGCACCGTTCCTCGTCTGCCCTCGCCTCTACTCTGGCCATGTTTCTTTGCTCTCTCTGAAGCCTTGCAGTGCTGCCGGCTACCCACAGACTCCGCTTGGCCCCCCTCCCTTGTCCAGCTCAGGCTGGAGGGCCACGAGGAAGGGATCTAAGAGGGGGTCTCAGCACCCGCTGGGGAACTGTGGGAAAGGCCGCATTCTAAGAGCCCCCAGAAGGGCCAGCCCGCCCCTCAGTGATGTGTGAGGTCCCCAGGTCCCTTGGGAGCCACAACAGGTAGGTGAGCCGGTGAATAAGCCTGGTCCCTGGGTCAACAGACTTGGACTCAGATCTGGACTCTGCTATTGGTTAGCCATGCAATTCTGGACACACTTTTCCCCTTTTCCAAACCTCAGTTTACTTATCTGTAAAATGGGATAATGAGAGCACTGACCCCACAGGGCTGTTGGGAAGATTAAACGTCACAGTGACACGAAAGCTATGGTGCCCCAGTCTTGCCACCACTCTTTCCCTCAGGAATTCCACGGCGTTCACCCGCCGGGCAGACTCCACTGCCCACCAAGCAGGCCAGGCCAGGCCAGGGAGGGAGGCCGAGGAGACCGTGGTCCAGCTCCGTGGAACTAGGGACAGACCAGGAAACCACAAGCAGAAGCACCCAGAGCTGAGCCATGCAAACAGCATGCAAAGAGCTACGGAATCCGAGGCTGCTCAGCTGCATGCCCGGCAGTCAGCTCACGGGCCCCTGGGAGGCACATCCCCCTGGTCCCCGGTCGGGGAGGACCCAAGCATCCAGGGAAACAGCCCCTGTGAGCTGTCCGGCATCACGTCACCGCCGTGACGTCCTGGGACGGTGCCTCGGTCTGTGTGCATTTATTCTTTCATGACCACCTATGTGTGGCAGGCGGTACGGACACAGCACTGAGGGACACAGGCCATCTCCTTGGTAGGAGACAGACATTAGCAAACAATTTAACAACCCTGAACAGTTTGGATCAGTGGATAGAGCCCACAGATGGAAGGGTCCCGGGTTCGATTCTGGTTGTGGGCTTGATCCTCAGTAGGGGGCGTGCAGGAGGCAGCCGATCAATGATTCTCTCTCATCATTGATGTTTCTCTCTCTCTCCCTCTCCTTTCCTCTCTGAAATCAATGAAAACCTATTTTAAAAAAAGAAAGATGAAGGAGGAAATCCGGAGAAAAGTTCGGGGGGAGGCAGATGTTCCGGAAAGAGGAGCCAGCATGTGCCAAGGTCTGGGCCCGCCACAGACTGAGAGCCCGGAGCACAGACCAGCCTTCCAGGTCCCACACCTTCCCGCTGCCGAGGTGGCGGGCAGAGTTCCACAAACCGCTCACCAGTACCCAGGACGGGGACCTCGGGGGCTTCCGTGAGTGGCACCTCCAGGCCTGCAGATGCCCGTGGGCCCTCCCGGGGTGACTTTCACAGTCACCTTCGGGCCTTTGTCTGCTGACCCTCAGCTAGTCCAGGCAGGGAGTCCACAGCCCTGAACCAGGAGGCAGTTTGCAAGCTGCTGGGCCCCTCCTTCACCTGGATGGGCAAACCTCCATGTGCCAGTGTGTGTGCATTGGGGGTGGGGGGGTGGGAGAGAGGGGTGGGGAGCGGGGACGCCAGGAACAAAAGCTGGACCTGAGCGGGTTCTGTTGACACTTCACTCCGGAGGGCCCCGGCA